ATACCTGTCTGTGTCCTGGCTGAAGAGACGAGGTCTTCTGTTCTCCTGTAAAGGGGTTGGGGCTACGATGATAGCGGGAAGGAATCAACTCTATCGCTGCATTGTAGATTTTTGAAAGCTGAAAGCTGAGCCCAAACAGTTTTTTTGTTTTTTGACTTGTTTTGGAAAACTGTTTGCATTCGACATTCCACAGATGAACTTTACAATGCCTTAAAAACGGAATGTTTATTTTACCCTAAAATGTTGACTGTCCAAGTCCAAGTTTCTTGGAGATATTTAAGTGCCTAATTTATTCCACTACAAGTTAATGGTAAATGGTTAGAAGATTAGAAGGCCTCAATGATGCTTTCACCATCCCAATAAAATAACACAGCAGTATAGCAATAATACTACAAGGTAACTTTATAGCAAATCTCCACAAATTAGAGCCGTCCTGATAGTAAATTCTGCTGGATGATATACTGGGTGAGAAATCTTTCTGATAACATTGTGAATGGGTTTAAATTCAAAACGCTCCCACGCTGCAGCTGTCCTATTCTGCTTCCATCTTTGTTTTTCCATCTGACAGCATTTTTCTGACTCGCTACATTTCAGTTGAGGCTCGTATGTTACGATAGCTGCACAAAGCAAATGCTAAAGGCACGAGAGGCAAACCTTTTTATCATTCAAACTCTTTAGTTAAAAGAGACAAAAGAAAAAACAAGCCTGCAAATATCAATTTATATGATTTATATGATTTATATTTATCCTTAAAAACCTACCATACATTTTTCTCCTTGTCCTCCACTTACAGCTTAGTCTTTCCGTGGCATCTCAGCTTGTTATCTCTTTTTTCAACAATCCATCCAGGATTTTTTTTCCTTTTCTTTACTTTCAAGCAAAACTTGACAACTTTGAGTTGCCAATAAAATAGTTTGACAATTTCTTAAAAAAACGTTGATTTGCCGCATCAGAAAATTGGGCAGAAACATCAGTTAAGACAATAACATCATCTGCGTATGAGGATGATTGTTCCTTATTTTGTTCCTATTGTTCCTATTTTGACGAAAATATTGCTAAGAACTCAAATGAAATCAAAAATAACTAAAACATAAAATGGAAATAAGACCAAGGAAAACTCAGAGATAAAACTTGAACAGAACCAAAACCACGACACAGACAAAATCATGACGCCGAGTTTAAATCAAGGGTGTTTGACTCTTTTTCATTTTAATACAGCCAATATTAATCCTAAAGGCATCTATTTGATTGACAGGTGTGCTCATGTGGGAGGTGTACAATGAGGGGCGTCTTCCCTACGAGAACCGCTCTAATTCAGAGGTGGTGGAGTCCCTGAACTCCGGCCTGAGGCTCCTGAAGCCGCGGCTGGCCCCGGACGCCGTCCACATGCTGATGGAGTGGTGCTGGAAGGAGGTAGGAACACGGCGAGTTAAACGACTCCCCGATGACATCAGAGCTCTCATAGATCATTCGCTGTTTTCCTCAGAAACCAGAAGATCGTCCGTCGTTTGCTCTGCTCCTGCATGAACTGGCCGCCCTCTCTGACCTCTGAGCTGAATCAAGATTAAAGATCATTTTAAGCACATTTTTATTTATTTATTTATTCAGTCATTTGTTGCTGATGATTTTCCAAAGGGTTGTATATTACATGTATTTTATGTGGATGTAGCACTTTATTTTCTTCCTATCTAACCTGAGAAGTTCATTTATAAAGATAATGTGATTGTATTTACACTGTATTTACTGATCAGGTGGACGATTATTCTGGTAAAACTTTTATCAATAATAATATCTTTGTGACCAAAATCAAACTTGTTTTCAGTTTGTGGTTATTTTTACTGATTTTTATTGAACTAAAGCAGTTTTTGATTAAAAACAATCAGTTGGTCACACTAACACCATCTATACTCTTATATTAGGATGTTTCAGCAATTCACAGGAAATAAAGTTGTTTGAAAAACACAGTTTCTGTTTGTTAAAGAAATAAATATCTTTAAAAAATGGATGGATGGATGGATGGATGGATGGATGGATGGATGGATGGATGGATGGATGGATGATGAATGAATGGATGATGGATGGATGATGGATGGATGGATGGATGGATGGATGGATGGATGGATGGATGGATGGATGATGGATGGATGGATGGATGGATGATGGATGGATGATGGATGGATGGATGGATGGATGGATGGATGGATGGATGATGGATGGATGATGGATGGATGGATGGATGGATGATGGATGGATGATGGATGGATGGATGGATGGGAGGGGGGATGGATGGATG